AACTTCAGTCCATCCTTTGTAGACAGTAACTGACCCCTTCCAGAAAGAGAATCCCAAAACTTTGCTCATGTCAAATTCAACCCCCTGCCAGAACAACTGCACCCATATAGGGAAAGGTAGTACTGGAAGAGGCCTCCTAGGCCAGTGCATCCAGTGCTTTCTTATGTAGACATCCATTTATCCAAAGATTCCTAAAAACAGTCCACTCCAAAAAACTGCACACCACAATAAGGCACAAAACTGGAAACACCATAAACACCTTGCCATGTGCCATAGATAAAAGCAGGAGACAAGGGCACAGCCAATGCCACTTCAATGGCAGATAAGTAATGTTTTTTAATGCATGCTCACAGGATCCTAGAAAGAAAACCATGCTCTGCACCACAGAGAAAGACAAAACCCCAGCCACACACACCTTGCCAATTTAATCTGTGGGGGGGAATTCCTTCCTGACCCCAAATTTGATTATTGGTGTAACCCTGAGCAGAAGAGCTATATCTCCTAGTCAGGAACTTAAGGCACTACTTACCAGTAAGTCCCCAGTCCAAAACCCCGATCCTCAGCTGTGGCCAATGTCCAGTACTTCAGACAAAGGTGAAAAAAGCCCACAGAGGTTCACAGAACAGATTCTGCTCCATTGTGCTCCAAGCTTGACATCGTAGACAGAAAGAAGAGTGTCTTAGATTCATATTTATACCATGGTTTACTGGGTTTGGGGTTTTTTGGTTTCACTCAGACATCAGGGTCACTGGAAAAAGGACTATTTTGATAACCAAACTGAGGTGGAACCCTCTTAGCAGACTACCACTGCATATAGAAAACTCACTGGACTTCAGACATCAGCCATTCCTGAAGGCGGCTGTGAATGATAAACAATGGTTTATCAGAAGAAAAGTCTTAGCGAGATGAACAGAAACATTAAAATCTCTGTAGATTTTTTTCTTTGAGCAATCCTGAACGATTTTATAGACAACAATAACTCCACAGTTGAGATCTCTGGCAGGATCTCCACAAAATCCAAAAGAAAGGGTTTAATTCTTGATTGGATACCACAGAGTAAAAGTACTACAGGTCACTATTAATTTCACGTGGAGTCCTTTTGAGTTCATCCCCTTTCAATTATCTGGGAATTTTCCTTAGGAGTCTTTGCCACAGATTTCAACACACTTTTTAGACCTGAATCCTCACATCACGGGGTGGGTGGTGTAATCCCCATGTCACAAATGAAGAAAACTGAGGCACTGAGAGGTTACATGTTTTGCAAGGAGAGGTCACACAGAGCTTGGACCTGAGCCATTTCTCATGACTCCCAGACCTGTGCCCTGGCCCCAGGACCTTCTCTGCCAGCAGGGGCCTTTGGTTGATCCTCTAAATGACAATCCAGGGGATGACAGCAGAAGCCACGCATGCAAATAAAACCCATGAATGAATCTAAGTCTGCCCAATGTCATACATAATTCTGGGAGGGGGAGGGGGGTGATCAAGCCTTTTTCTGGACATAGGCAACCAAGTCTCTAAGGACCATCCCTCACACTCTGCCCCTCTAGAAAGGGGTAACTGCAGCCACAGATGAATGAGTTAGAAGAACATCTCTTCTGGATGAAGCAATGTAGAAGCTGTATCAGACAGTCCTGCACTTGCTGTTTGAGTACAGTCATATTACGGAGTCATAAGAATCCTTCCAACAGATTTGTTCAATTCTTTGGACTTTGCCATAGTTCCATGCCAAAAAGGACCAATAGATTACCTAGGCTGAATTTGTGTCTATCAAAGGCCATTCAGTTATAATCAGATACCCCTATATTGGGCTTGATCACTTGGGCTTAATAACTTGAAATAGACTAAAATATTAGTCTCTCAGGAGACTAAACTGTTTCATGCCATGGGCAGTGAACAGGACTTGCGAGAGCAGGGAACTGATGTGGTAAGAGGCACTCTGAGGATCCTCGGAGGTGAACCCCACCACATATTAGAGGAAGGCAAAACCTCACAACAGGTCCCTGCCAATCTGATACAGGGGAAATACCTTCTGGTGTCCAGTAGGACCTTGAGCAATTAAATTAAGATCTAAACATGAAAAAGAAAGATAAGTTTTAAAAGAGGAGGATTTTCAGTACTCTCTCAGGGCACTGCTCAACCCAGTCTGATATCCCACATCCAGCTGTGATCAAATCTCTCATACTTTGCCAGAAGACAAAGAAACCCCCCCCAGAATACATCTAGCCAGGTTTGCCCCATGGAAAAAAGAAGTGGTTAACTGTGGTAGTCTGAAGTCAGGCAAAAGGTAGGGCAGATCAGCACCTCAGAAGCTAACTGGTTCAAACAGGCATGAGTTGTCACAATAAGGCAACAACCTACTTCATCAGATTTTAGGAATGGATTGGCACTTAGGGGGACTGATCAGATCAATTAAGATAACCAGACAAGATTCTTTGTGTAAATCTGATATCTTTTATTAGACAACTCAAATATAAACAGGGCATTGAGCACCTAGAGGAACACTGCTTGGATGAAGGAATAGAGGTAGATGTTATTTACTTAGACTTTAAAAAGGCCTTTGACACAGTGTCACTACCAATTGTTATAAATAAACTAAACAGTTGCAATGTAGATTAGTACAGTCCAGTGGGTAGAAAATTGGCTTATGGGATGCACCCAAAGAGTGGTGGTGGATGGGTTGGTTTCTACCTGGCAAAATGTAGGCAGCAGAGTCCCGCAAAGCTGTGTCCTGGGACTGGTACGATTCAATATCTTCATTAGTGACTTGGACGAGGGAGTAGAAAGCACCCTGTCCATGTTTGCTGACAACACCAAACTATGGGGGGAGGTACACAAACTAGACAGCAGGGAGCAAATCCAGGCTGATTTGGACAGGCTGGGGAAGCGGGCCGAACAGAATAGGATGCAGTTAACAAGGATAAGTGTCATGTGTTGCACCTGAGGAGGAAGAATCATCCACACTCCTGTAGTCTGGGAGGTACCACTCTAAGTAGCACAACTGCGGAAAGGGATCTCGTAGTCAACTCCAAAACAAACATGAGTCACCAGTGTGATGAGATAATAAGTAAAGCAAACCGCACCCTTTCTTACATAAGTAGGTGCATCACAAACAGGTCTAGGGAGGTGATACTTCCCTCTGTGCAGCGTTGGTCAGGCCCCAGCTGGAGTACTGTATCCAGTTTGGGGCACTGCATTTCAGGAGGAATGTGGATGGCCTGGAGAGGGTTCAGAGGAGGGCCACTCGTCTGGTTGAAGGCCTACAGAAAAAACCTGTGTGGACCGATTAGGAGACCTGAACCTCTTCAGCCTCCGCAAGTGTTTACCAGGGCACCTGTCAGGGTAACTAGAAATAATGGCCACAAACTGGAAGAGAGCAAATTCAGATTGGACATTAGGAAGAAATTCTTTACCTGAATCCTCACATCACGAGGTGAGGGGTTGAGGGGAGTGAGGGGAGGGGAGTGAGGGTTGCTAAAATATGGAATATGCTTCCAAGGGAGGTGGTGCTGTCCCCTTCCTTGGAGGTATTTAAAAGGAGATTGGACAGACACCTGGCTGGGGTCCTCTGACCCCAGCACTCACTCCTGCTCAGGGCAGGGGGTCAGACTCAATGATCTAATAGGTCCTTTCTGACCCTAACTTCTATCTATGAAACTATAAAAACCTAAATAAACCTCCTTTGGGCATCAGGATCCTACTGCACTGGGGGCTGGTAATAAGAAACCTAATAGTGGCTGGGCTGAGCTCCTCTTTGCACTCAGGGGTTGGGAAGACAATTTCCAGGATGACAATGTGGTTACTTTCACAATCTTCCAATAATGTCAGCCTGCTCAGGGATGGATGCACAGGACTGACATTTTTAAAACTGCTGCTAGAATATCAAGTCCCTGAAGTAGTAAGGCCACCTTGTGGCTACTGGCAGGAATTGCAGAGGAGATTATGATTATTCATCCATTAGATATCCCCAAGCAACAGCACTAACGGAACGGGTAAGTAGCACCAATATGGATTCCCCAGCAGTCCCCAGAGAGCTGGGGACCTTGGAGTAGTTTGTCAACTCCTTGTGGTTTCCAGCACTTTTCAGGTTGTGAAAAGAGGGCAAAAGGGGTACATGGTCTCTGAAGACAAGTAGCACAATGCAAGGGTTTACCACCCACCTAGCATATTTATCCAGGAACCTGTCCTGCATAGATCTAATCTACTCAGGGTTCCTGGTTTCCCTTGGACTGGACAGCCCAACAGAATGTCCCTCACTCCTGGCCTCCTGTGAAGGCCTACCAACATACCAGCCACCAACTGCTCTTCTAGTTCTAGGGGCCCGCACAGCTCTAATGCAAATCCAGCTCGGCATGAAGCATCCCAGCTCTACCCATGCATCTAAGCCCTGTGCAAAAGGACTTCCTTGTCTGCCCTTATATTGTAGCTCTTGGCCTGTGAACGCTCCCTGTTATTTCAGCCCTAAGATCAGTCCCTCTCTCTAAGTCTCTGCCAGCATATCCTGCTCCTGCTCCAATGTACCTCCCCCATTACATCCATCTCAGGCCCCACAACACAGCTCTGCCAATAAGCATCACTCCTGACTTGCAACAGACAGGACTCTTGAGTTTCAGACGTATGGATATGAATAACACTTGCTTGAGATTTACCAGCTTCCTTTGGATTTATTTGGGGCCCAATAAATGGATTTATTTATTTGGGGCCCCTGGGGGCCACCTCCATGTCTTCCTCTATGGCAGGGTACAGCATATTTTGCTAGTTCTGGGAGGGGAGTGAAGGGAGCAAAAGGGTAATAACACTAGCAACTCCCCTCATTGCCAAGGCTCTCTTGGCCATCAAAATGACCAGTGCTTCTGCCTACAGAGGTTGCACTAGCCAAACAAACCCAGGGCAGCTCTGGGCAAAAGCACCAGCCTCTAAGTGACAAGGACTCCTTGAGCGGGGAGGTAGTCCCCTGTAAAGAGAATGCAACGGACAAAATGGAGTCAGAGCCACTCTGGAGTAGAAAGAACAAGTGTTTAATGGAATGAATGGAGAAGTCCCCAAAGTCCACATGGGAAAAAACGCCCCTGTATAAGACTCCGACCATCTCCACTCCAGGGCTCAGTCCTGGCTTGAATTGGCTTTGGGACGCGTTCTCCAGGGAAGGAATTAAGGTGCATCATTCGCTCCACAGTGTCCCTGGTGACCGTTCCATGGCAGCCCCTGCTGAGCACATCAAATCTTCCAGGAAAGGGAGATTGGCTCACAAGTCCCTCTCCCCTTGGCAAGAGGAGAATCGTTGGGTTATCAGACAGGTGAAAGGGGTGCACACAACAATCCACAGGGCTGTGCTGGCCCTAGCAGTTAGAACCAAGCTCTGTCAGCATTAAGAGACCAGCTCTGGTGGATGGAGGGGGCTGCCCCACACCCAACCTGGAAGACAGGTCCGCAGCTGGGCATATTAACTGGCGAAACCTCTGCAAGGCAAAAATCAGACAGTCAACTGACCTGCAGGAAAGGATCCTGCCCACCCCACCAGCCTGCTTCTAGCAAGGACAGCACACAGCAGTGGGGCAAGGAGGAGCTTTGTAGTCATAGGAAAAAATCAACCTGGGATCTGAATAACTCATGACACCTCAAGCCTCCCTTGTAGAACTTCTGTCTTTAACTGCCAAGGATGTTCTAGACCAGGACTGTCTAACTTGTGAATTGCCCAGGGCTGCAGCCCCCTGGCCACATGCCACATTGACTGCACACCACACCACACAGTGCTGAGAGCTCCCTCTCCCCACTGCACCATGCCAAAGTCCCCACACCCAGCACCACGTGGCACTGGGTCCCCCAGGTCACCTGACCAGCTCCAGCAGAAGCAGCACCTGAACCAGGAGCCACAAGTTAAAACCTTGGGAGCCAGCTGCAGCCCATAAGTTGAAAGTTGGGCAGCCCTGCTCTAGAGTTACCCTGCCCAGCACACCTACACACAGTAATTTAAACAAGAGCTGGAGCCAACCTCAACGTTGGAACCCTCTGGAGATCGCCCTCAGCTGCGCTTGTGTGAGTTCTGGGTACGGAGTGAGAAAGGCTCCTTTCCCTGCTCCTGACCAGGACTTTGAACAGCCAAAATACAGGCAAGTGGCAAAGCATCAAACCCTGTTTTTACAAGGGATCCATCCTCTGCACAGTACCAACAGGCGACCATGAGACCAATCATCCCCTACACCTCTTCCAAGCAGCAGCACTCACACTTATCCCTCTGGTGGTCAAGGCTGCAGGAATCCCAGAGCCACACATAGCACTGGCATACAGGCAATAACTCACCTTCCACTGACCTCAGCAGGAGTTTGCCAATGGAAGGCTTGCAGAAAGCAGAGCTGCCTCTGTCTGGATATGCAAACCACAGGGACTCCAAGCCAGTCCTCTGTTCCAATCCATCCCCATGCACTGCTCTGGGGTGCAGGAAGTCTTGTGAAAAACTCAGGAATTTCCCAGTGCTCATGGTTCCAGCATAGCCAACATGAATGCTTTCTACTAATGCTCCTCTGCAGCCCTGGGGAGCCTCATTGAAGGAGTGAGGGACCTCACAGCATGGTCCAAGCATGCTGTGCTTTAGCAGGCCTCTGCTTCCCACACTGGGCCATGAGAACCACAACATAACTACTGGACAGAAAGCTCTAGCTTGTACTAGAGGTACTAGAGACTGAGCAGGTACCTCAGTGCCCCCAAATACTGCAAAAATGCATGCAAAGGTGGCTTCAAGCTTCCAATGGTGGCACTGCTGCCCTCTGTTACAGCACAAGCGCAGCCTAGAGGTCCCACTGCATGGCCTAGCCAGTCCTGCGCTCCGTGGTGTCCATATGCCAGATGTCCCTCCCACCCAATAATGTGGACCTGTCCGCCTTCCACAGAGCTGTGTACTGGCAGCAGTTGAAGAGATGAGTCAATACTAAGAGGCACAGGATGCGAGACAGCTCTGAACAGCCCTCCAGCCAGCCTGAATTCAATGATGCCGCTCATTTTTCAGAGTAAGAGACTAAGCCTCAGTAAATTAATTCAAGATACTATTAATACCACACCAAGGCTGCTTTGTGAGGCAATCATTCCATTACACCAGCAGCTTTTCAAGTCCCTCCCAGCCCCAATCCAGCCTGTATCCAGACCCAGGAGCAGCAGCCTTACCTTTCTCAGGGAGCCCTTGATTGTGGAGAGCTTGTAGAGGATCCAAAGAGGGATGCACACCATGGATGAGAGGGCCAGCAGCCAGCCCAGTGTATCTCCCCACCAGGGGTATACATACTTCTTGTTGTAAGTCAGTGGTGTGTATTTAATTAAAGAGAACAGGAAGGTTGCCTGTTGGGGTGAAAGAGGCCAAGAAAAGAGGAGGAGAGGAAAGCAATCTAGCTAACTAAAATGGTCTCCC